CCTTTCCTTCCCTCGCACCTCCGTCACTGGCCTTAGTGAGTGACTGTCCCCGCCGCTTCCCCCAGGAAGCTGCTTCTCCCCACACTGCCAAAAGTACCTTCGAACCTTCTCCTGGATAAAAGGTTATCCCATGCAAAGTTTGGTTGTGGCAAATCTTATAGTGCCCAAGTTATTGGCGCACAAACATACAAACATTCTCCTTTATATATTAGATAAATACACCAAGAAATAAAAGTACAAATAAATACATTGTCTGTAAATATAAAGATACTGAAAAAATGAATATCTGAACAAAAATTGCCTTGCTAGAAGATAAACATTCTTCCACTACAGAAAAATATAGCAATAGAAAGAAAAAATATAGTTTACATGCAGCAAGTTTGTACATGTTATTAATTCTGTCTCCATGGTTTTATGTGTTATTTTACTTTCCCTCTCTCTATAGAAAAAAAAAGTTTTTCCTTCTGGATGACAGAATGTTCCTGCCAGGCGACAGAATGACGTCATCACGTCATCAGTGTCAACAGGCTCTCTCAGCAAAGTGAAAGCGGCCAGAGAGGGGGAGTAGGCAAGTGTAGCAAGCAGAGAGAGCAGCCCCCTAGTAACCTAGTAATGATGAATATAGAAGTGTAACAGGTACATTACGTTATTAGTACTTACTAGGGTTGCCAAATATCTAATTTCACAAACCAAAAAGCCCTATCCTGGACCCTGACCTGCTCCTTCTCTGAGGTCCTGCCCTCCGTTAGTTCACCCCCTGCCTTTGGTCACTCACTCTCCCCCACCCTCACTCACTTTCACTAGGCTGGGCCACAGGTTTTAGTGTGTGTGGGAAGGTGAAGGTTCCAGCTGCAGATTCGGGCTGTAAGGTGGGGCAGGAGATGAGGGGCTTAGGGTGGAAGAAGGGGTTTCAGGATGAGGCAAGTGGTTAGGCTACAGGGTGAGAGAGGGGTGCAAGAGTTTGAGTGCAGGAGGGAGTTTGGGATCCCGGCCAAGCTTACCATGGCTCCTAAGCTCCAGGAGGCTGTGTGGCCTGTCCTTACACCTGCATGCACTGCCCCTACGGCTCCCATTGGACATGATTCCCAGCCAAAGGGAGCTGCTGAGTTGGCACTAGCGGTAGTGGTGGCATGTGGAGCCCCCTGTGCTTAAGGGCAGCAGAGAACTAGCAGACTCTTCCAGTAGCTGCGCGGAGCCAGGCAGCTGGCTAAACTATAAACAGTGCCAAGTGGAGCCATCCTGTCCCTTTTCGACCAGGCCTTTCAGTTGAAAACCAGATGTTTGGCAACCCTAATGCTTACCATAAAGACACCACATAAAACTTTCAGAAAACCAGCCTAAGATTTCAACGGTGACCAGTGATGTTGGTTGTCTGGCAAGGGATGCTATAGAGCAGTCTGATTTTCAGAAAATGCTGAACACTTCTGACCTCTGAAAATTAGGACTCTTTTAAGCCCTTTAAAATTTGGCACTCAAACACTGAGGAACTGAAAAATCATGAGTTACTTTTCGAGAACCGAAGAAGCTGTTATAACTGCTCTCTAAATGCTGTACACCCCATCATCTCGTGTGCTGTTATCAGTGAGCACTACATTTTTTAATCTTTGCCAGAATAGGCCTTCAGCATGTGGATTCTTAGGCCAGTCAAGAATAGAGCTCTTGCAGATCCTCTGCCTCAGCCTCAGGTACTGGGAATGCTGTAACACCGGCTCCAGTAGAATAAAGACAATCACATCCATATTCTCATCCATTAGTCTCTGCAGAGCTATATAAAAAGCAGTTTTGAAGTTCCCATTTTTCACATATCGTTCAGTTAGAACAAATACTGTCTTCTTGCTGAGATGGATGCTCTGTGCGAGGTTGTCAATGACAGCCCTTCCCGGCTCCCAGTCTCTTTCCTCCAAGCAAAGCAGAACGTGCTTGTTGCCATTTTCCTCTAGATGAAACCGTAGTTCATTCATTACCCAGTCAGTTACTGATGTATCCTGAGTGTCATAGGCTATGTAAGCGTCATAGAGAGTTTTGTCTATGGCTGTAGACTTATAGCCCTTTATTTTTGCCATACAAGAATGATAAGCATACCAGATATCCCAATAATATAAGTGTTTGGTAACTGCTGTCATCATAATGCTAATAACAGTGAGGAAAGATATATAAAATAATATTACTGCTACACTATCCAGAATGCAAGCATGCAGGTCAATCAAGAGAACACTATGCTGTCTTTGGTCCTCAGGGATCATGCAAATGACATTTCTTCCTACTTGTGAGATTGGAGTTTTGGTTTTCTGAATCCACCTTATGAAGTTACTGTTCTTGCAGGTGCAGTCAAATGGATTCCCTTTTAATTTTAAAACCTTCAAGTGTTGCATAACTCCTGACAAGAGAGTTGACTGATTTAACACCTGCAATTGGTTGTAACTCAAATCCAGATACAGGTGGTTGCTGACATTCTCAGGCAACACAAAGTCAATCCTGGAAATCTTGTTATTCCGTAGCAGCAGAGTCTGGAGGGACTGTGTATAGTTGTACTGGATATCAACAGCCTTGAATTTGTTCTGACTTAAGTCAAGCAACTTCAAAGACTTAAAGTAGCTAAGAGTTTCCCAGCTGAGGGTATGTAGTTTGTTGTTGTTTATATACAATTCGGTTAAGCTGTGAGGCAGATTTTGGAAAGCCTTAGAAAGGATATTTCGAAGTCCGTTGTATGAGATATCAAGATGGGTCAGCTTTTTTAAATGCTTAAATAAATGTATGTAATTCATTTCTCCATTTTTCCATAAGAGACCAAGACGGTTTCCTTTGAAGTCTAGTTTTTGAAGGGAGTCACTCCTTAGTTCAAATTTTGTTAGTGCAGAAATGTCATTCCAGCTTAAATTTAAAATTTTTAAATTAGGAAGGTTTTCAATAAATAGTAGTTGATGTGCAAAACCTGTCACTAGAAAATAGTGCTTGTTGTAGCTAAGATCTAATACTTCAAGGTTAGGTAATTCTTTAAATGCAGAGTAACTAGTCAAATCCAATTTATTAAATGAGAGATCTAAATATTTGAGATTAGGTAAATAGATTAATTCAGTGCCATTGAAAGCTTGGCCAAGGCCATTTGAAGACAAATTCAAACAAGCAATATCCCCAAAGCCCTTAAACTGATTTGGGTTAATGAAGAAGATATTGTTTAAACTCAAATCCAAGGCTTTCCCATATGAGGTACAAAGCTGTTTAAGGAAGTAAGATGATTGCTTTATATTATCAGAATATATGATAGGAGGATTGTCCTCTTTCTCAAATGGTTTTAAAAAACCACTCTTTTCTGTTGCTTGTGGGAATATTTTGTTTTCTTTCAAATATATTTCTGTGAGGTTGCAAAAATTCTGGAAAACAGACAAATCAACTCTTTTAATAAAATTTAGCCCAAGGTCAAGGACAGTTAGCTGTCTCAGAGCAAAGAGAGGTTTCAAGTGCAGTGTATCTAATTCTTTGAAAATATAACCTTTGATATATAATCGTTTTAGAGATACTAGTAAAGAAAAGTTTGGTGACAGGGTTAGATACCTTGTGTATGTTTGTTTCTGGTAGTTGAAAGATAGGTCAAGTTCCTCTAAAGAAGATAAATTCTGAAAGAACTCTCCAGTAGCAATTTCTTTCTGTAAGAAGTTAGATGCAAGGTGCAGCACCTCTAGCTCTGGCATGTTCTGAAACCAAAGAGCAGGTACGCTCGTGAGTGACATGCTGGATAGAACCAAAGTCTTTAATTTTTTAAGATTTTGGAAAGCCAAAGGATGTATTTGAATGGAAGAGTTTCCAGTGCACGGTTCACATGGAAAAGGTGTATTGAAGCATTTTGGACAGTTGCCACTTAAATCAAGAACTTTTAGATGAACTAGTTTCTTAAAATCATCTCGACCAACATTCTTTATTTTGTTATGACTCAAATAAAGTTCTTGTAGGGACACAGGCAGTTTGGGAGGCACCCAGGTCAAGTTATTATAGGAAAGTGACAGAACAGTCAAACTGGTGAGGACTGAAAAAGCCCCATCTTCCAACATGAAAGGTGTTTCACAGGCATTACCAATATAACAGTTCTCATCCAAATATAGTTCCTTCAGTCTTGTGAGTTCTTTGAAAGTATTCTTCCCAATAGTAACAATTTTATTGGTCTTTAGACTTAGTGAAGTTATGCTAGATGAAATCCCTGCTGGCACTTTGGTTAGCTGATTGCCATTAAGTTGTAATTCCTTTAAGTGTCTTAAGTTTGAAAAAGTTGCATCTGCTATTTGTAAAGCTTTTGGAGACAAATCAAAAATAGATTCTTTTGGGTTAACGTGCCAATTCCAGTTTAATTGAAAAAATGTAAGGTCCTTAAAGTTGTGAAAATCCTTTTTAGAAAGCTCTTCAACCCAGTTGAAAGACAATATCAATCCAGTAACATTTGCATATATTTCCTGAGGGACTGCTCTCAGCTTTTGTTTACTGCAATTCAGGAGAACCGAGGAGCTGTTCTGTTTTGCTTTTATTTTACAAGGTAAGTCCTTAGAAACCCATTGATGATGAGTGGAAAGACCTATCTCAGGTTGAATAAAGAGTAGCAGGAAAAACAGGTTCTGGGTTATGGTAGCCATGTTTACCTAATTAAAAAGAAACAGGCAGATTAATGGTTATATCTTGTCGATGACAAGTGCTTTTCACATGCATATATTTCACATAGTAAATGTGTGTCCAAACAACAAAAATACAAACAAAACTACTACTGGTATAGTGTACAGGTAATTTGGGATTATAAAAATTACCAACAACATAATTTCAGTTATTTTATTACTTTTGTTACATACCCTGCACACTGCCCAAAATGGAATAAGGTACTTTTTAACAAAAACCAGAAAACACTATTTCTGAGGGAAATTTCTTTTAAATTCTTTTGGGAGAAGGAAATTATCAGATTTTGAGCAGTTATAACCATTACCCTGATTTTGTTTAATCACTACTTAGAGTTGTTTATTATATGTTTTTAGCACAGTGGTTCTCAAACTTCCGCGATTTGAGGGTGCCTATTTTAATTTAAATTTTTTCAGAGACCCCAGGCCCTCCTGCTCAATCTTTGCTCCATCCCCTTCCATGAGGTCAGACCACTGTACCATAGGGGACTGTCCCTACAATTTCTTGTGCTGTACACAGCTCCTTATGGGGGGCCCCTGTAGAGGCAGGACCTCTGGGAAGCAGGAGCAGGGACAATTTCTTGTGCTGTACACAGCTCCTTATGGGGGGCCCCTGTAGGGGCAGGACCTCTGGGGAGCAGGAGCAGGGGCAGGGGCAGGGCAGGACAGGGAGGCAGCAGGGTTCAGGACCACACCCACCAGCAGCAGCAAGAAGTGAAGCAACCTGGCCCCAGCCCACTCCTCTCCCCCAGCTCCTAGCTGCATCACTTGGGGAAGAGGCTTAGGGAAAGGAGTGGAACCGACCCCACACTCTGGTGGTGGAAAGCAGAGTGATGTGCCTGGGAGCCAGTGCAGTGGGCAGGGATGGGGTTGCTCAACTTCCTGCCACTGGCTCTTGTGATGTCTCCATTGCACTGTGTCTCCTATCATAATAAAACTTATTTAGATGAGGATTTTAAGAGTCTTAGCTAGCACATATTAGGTAGCATGTGTTAACATCAACAGTCTAGTAAGACGTGGCAGTGTGTCTTTAATATGTGTTAAGTGGTCAAATTAAAGTTATACTTTACTCTAGAAATCAAGAAAAACTTTAAAAACAATGGAGTGTTAGAAGTCCAGATCCAAGAACTTCTAACACTCCTATCATCTGAAGAAGTGGGCTGTGCCCACGAAAGCATATGGTTCCATCTACATATTTTGTTAGTCTTTAAGGTGCTACTAGTCTATTGTTGTTTTTTAAGTTTTTCCTGTAACAGACTAACTCGGCTACCCCTCTGAAACTCTAGAAATCAACTTATGCAATGTCTTAGAATTAATTAGGTGAGAAATACCAATATGATCCTGACAGGCTACACACACTTCATGCTGCAGAGGAAGGCAAAACAAAACAAAAATCCAAGTCACTGGCAATGACTTGAGGGAAAATTCCTCCCAAATCCCAAGTCTGATGATCAGCTGGACCCTGAGCACATGAGCAAGACACATTAGCCAGGCATCTAGGAGAGGGGATTCTCTATAGCACCTCACAGCACCAGTCTACCCCAGCCAGTATTCTGTCTCTCAGCATGGCTGGTCTCTAATGCTTCAGAGGAAAGTGATACATTACAATTGTAGTTGTGTATCAGGGAAAACAAATTCTTCCTGATCCCTGCAGGCAACCAGCTGGAGCCCTGAAGCATGAGATCTGATTAGACTCGTTATCTTAATTCAGAACTACAAGAGTGGTGAGCCTATTGATGGCAGTGTAGGCAATCCCATTACCCACAAGGGAACTCACAGATGCCAAAGCCAGATGAGACCACCTGACCATCCAGGCCCACCTTCCACAACTGACCTCTACCCACACCGGCTATAGAATGTATCCTAGAATCTAGTTTAAAGCAAGTCTGTTAGAAGATATCTAGTAAGTCTTGACTCCAAGTGGTGGCTTGTTCAGCACCACCCTGTTATACTTTTCCAATGTTTAATCACCCTCACAGCCAGGAAATGGCGTCTTATTTCAAGGCTGAATTTGTCTAAATTCACCTTCCAGCTCTTGGATATTGTCTGCAAGGTTGAAAAGCCTGGCACTATCAGATATTTTTCCCCTGGGCAGGAGCCTAGATGCAGTGATCAAGCCGCCTCCCAACCTTCTCTTCAATAAACTGAAAAAGTTGAGCTCTTGAAGCCTCACACCCGAAATCTTGTTTTCCCACCCTGAGATTCTTTCTGTGGTCTCCACTGAACTCTCTCTTGTATTTCTTCATCCTTTTTGAAAGGTCAACACCACAAGTAAAAGGGAAATCTAGTTGCAATATTACCAGTGTTGTTTACAGAGGCAAGATCACTTCACCACTTCTACCTGAATTTCCCCTATTTATACATAGCCCTTGAAGCCTCAGCACTGTATTGAGAACTCCAGGCTCAGGCAATTCTCTGTGATGACCCCTTGGTCCTTGCTTAGTAACTGCTTTCCTCTATCTTGGAAATGCTTGTAGGAAAGTAGGTCCATTAATTAACCAGGAGGGAGATAAAGGGGTGCTTCAGCAATGGCAGAGGTTTTGCATTTTTTCTTTAACATGAAAAATATACTAGAAAATCCTATCATGCAGTACACTCTGGTGCACATACACACACAGAGAGACAAATCTTAAGATTTAACTTGTTTTTATTGTGTGTTTAATTAGTTCTTAGTAACATCCATGGGAGCCATGCTGACAGGGAGCTGGGACCTGAAATGAGTACAGAGGCTCAAAGGCAATAATCTCCAAAACAGGGGCTTAAAATTAAACTTCTAAGCCCATATTGACACTCATAAAAATGTGGCTTGATTTTCAAAAGCGCTGATCATTTAGCAGCTGATATTAACTTTAGTGAGAGGCGCTGCACTCAGCACATTTGAAAAAACAAGCCCCTTTTTTAGCCATCTAGCTTTAGACACATGTTTTTAAAAACCTTGTCCAGATACTTCAAGCAGATGGTGCAGCATTTCCAGCAGATTCACTTTGTTAGTCACTGATTTGGAGGATGAACCACTGTCTATTCTCAGGAGTCCAAACCAAATTTGGAGGATTGGAGCAGAATCTGAGTTTAATTCCCCTGCATTGAAGAATCTGGCTATGCGTAAGGCCTTGAACATAACTAGGTCAGATCAAAGATCCATCCAGCCGAGTACCCTCTCTACCGACAGTGGCCAATGCCAGATGTCCCACAGGGAGTGAATCGAACAGGTAATGATCAAGAGGTCTCTCCCCTGCCATCCATATCCACCCTCTCACAAGCAGAGGCTAGGGACACCGTTCCTTACCCATACTGGCTAATAGCCATTTATGGCCTTAACCTCCATGAATTTATCTAGTTCTCTTTTAAACCCTGCTTTAGTCCTAGCCTTCACAACCTCCTCAAGCAAGGAGTTCCACAGATTGGCTATGCGCTATGTGAAGAAGAACTTCTTTTTGTTTGTTTTAAACCTGCTGCCCATTAGTTTCATTTGGTGGCCCCTCATTCTTATATTATGGGAACAAGTAAATAGCTTTTCCTTATTCACTTCCTCCACACCACTCATGATTTTATAGAGCTCTATCATATCCCCCCTTGGTCTTCTCTTTTTCAAGCTGAAAAGTCCCAGTCTCTTTACTCATTCCTCATATGGGACCCATTCCAAACCCCTAATCATTTTCGTTGCCCTTCTCTGAACCTTTTCTAATGCCTTGAGTACCACCCGACCATGCATACAATACTCAATTTATATTTACATTTCTCCTGATGTCAGGTTTAGTATGAGTGTATGTAACTGAGTACACACACACAGAGCAGGTGATTAGCAGAGATGTTGAATATCAGTTGAGTATTGTTAAGAAAGGATAGACGCTATATTACAAATCATCTACATTACAAACATGATGAAAGCATATCCTGAGAAATAACAAAAAGTATATCCTGAGAAATAACAATATGTAATACTGCTGTGTAAATATGCCTAGATATTATTCTGTCACACACACACACTGACACAACAAGCTCCCAAAAAGAAAGCGCGAGAGAGAAACTAATAGTCAAATACATTTGTGTTA